CTTACCAGGATGGTAACTCAATTCAAAATCATAATCCTTCAGAAGTTCAAGCCATCTTCTCTGCCTCATGTTCAACTCCTTCTGATCAAACAAATACTTCAGGCTCTTGTGATTGCTGAACACTTCGAACCTAGACTCAAAAAGATAATGTCTCCAAATTTTCAACACAAACACCACGGCGGCCAACTCCAAGTCATGCATAGAATAATTCCTTTGATGGACCTTCAGTTGTCTGGAAGAATAAGCAACAACCTGACCATTTTGCATCAATACGCCTCCAAGACCCATCTTCGATGCATCACAATACACTACAAAAGAATCACTCGAATTTGGCAAAATTAACACTGGAGCATTCGTCAACTTCTTCTTGAGTTCTACAAAACTCCTCTCACAAGCAACATCCCACACATAAGCTTGACCCTTTCGAGTCAACTGAGTCAATGGAAGTTCCAACTTTGAAAAGCCTTCTATAAACCTGTGATAATAACCAGCCAACCCAAGGAAACTTCGAATCTCAATAGCAGACTTTGGAGTCTCCCACTGCAACACAACATCAACTTTCGACGGATCAACAACAAGTCCTCCACTAGAAATCACATGGCCAAGGAAACTCATTTCCTTCAACCAAAACTCACACTTGGACAACTTTGCATAAAGCTTCTTGTCTCTCAAAACCTGCAATACCACTCTTAGATGTTGCGCATGCTCTTCCTCGAACTTAGAATATATCAAGATATCGTCAATGAACACTACCACAAACTGATCCAAATAAGGATGAAAAATTCTATTCATATACTCCATGAATACACCAGGTGCATTAGATACACCAAACGGCATCACAGTATATTCATAGTGTCCATACCTCATCCTGAAAGCTATCTTCGGAATATCATCAGGCTTAACGCAAATTTGATGATAACCAGACCTCAAATCAATCTTGCTAAACACACAAACACCCACCAATTGATCCATCAAATCATCAATCCTCAGAATTAGATACTTATTCTTGATTGTTAGTTTATTCAATTACCAATAATCCACACACAATCTCATGCTACCATCTTTCTTCTTCACCAACAACACACGAGCACCCCACGGAGAAACACTCGGTCGAATGAACTTCTTCTCAAGTAGCTCTTCCAACTGTTTCTTCAATTCCCCTAACTCAGATGCAGACATCCAATAAGGAGACATCGACACAGGACTAGTGCCCGCTATCACATCAACAGTAAACTCCACCTCACGCTCAAGAGGCAAGTCACTCACGTCGTCTGGAAACACTTCTGGAAATTCCCGAACAACTGGAAGTTCCACGCTCACTGCTTCATAATCAACTTGAAGTGATGTAAACAATGCAAACATCTGAGCCTCATCTTCCAAGAGTTCTTCTACTTGCTTAGCAGATACATACATCAACTCTCCACCATCACCAAACTCTGGGAACCTCACAGTCTTGCTGTAGCAATCAATATGAACATGGTTGTACTCCATCCAGTTCATTCTGAGAATAACATCGATTTGATGTAAAGGTAGACAGACCAAGTCCATCACAAAATTCTTATCATAAATGGTCAAAGGGCAGTTCAAACAGACTAACGCAGTAGTCACATAACCATTAGCTGGGGTATCGACAACCATACTCCCAATCATAGAAGATAATTTCAAATTCAATCTCTTAGCACATTCAAGAGAAATAAACGAATGAGTAGAACCAGTATCAATCATAGCAATCAATTCGACATTATTAATAAAGAAAGTACCTCTGATCAAGTTATTTGTCTTGGATTCTCCTGCACCGCTCAAAGCAAACACTTTGCCATTTGTTTGAGAAACATTAGCAGTCTTCTTTAGCTACTGGCACTGGGTACTGATATGACCCTTCTCTCTACAATTGAAGCAAGTCGGAGCTTTGTCTTTACAGTCAGTAGCTCTATGACCTCTCTTGCCACAACGATGACATCTCAGTACCCTACAAACCTCAGCACGGTGACCTTGCTCGCCACACTTATAACACTTGCCTGGAGCAGTAGTTGCTCCCCCACTTGACTTTTTCCCATCTGAAGCCTTCTACTTCCCTTTATCACCAAAAGTCACATATGGTTTCCCTCTATACTGACCTTTCTCTTTCTTCTCACTCAGTTGCTTGTAGTGAGTAGATCGAGCTCGGCTATCCTTATCATAAATTCTGCTCTTGTCCACCAGTTCCGCAAACCAGCGAATCTGCTGGTACCCAATTCCTTACTTAATCTCTGGTATCAATCCATTCTCAAACTTGAGACACTTTGACATCTCTGCGTCAACATGGTTGTAATGCAGACAAAACTTTACTAAAGACTCAAACTTTGTCGCATACTCAGCCATGGTCATATTCCCTTGTTTCAGCTAAAGGAATTCCACCTCTTTCTTGCCTCGAACATCTTCAAGAAAATACTTCCTAAAAAATTCTTCCTTAAACACAGCCCAAGCTATTGCAATGCCAGCACCTCCCAATCTTTGGCAAGTGTTATCCCACTAGTCCTCAGCTTCCTCTGCTAGCATATGTGTACCAAATTGCACATGCTAAGTATCAGTGCACGCCATAACTTGGAAAATCTTCTCAATCACTTTCAGCCACTTCTGCGCACCATCAGGATCATGAGTGCCCACAAAAGACGGTGGATTGTTCCTCTGGAACTTTCCCAAAGCACGAAACTCATCTGGAGGTCCACCATTCTGGGATATCACTTGGGCAAGTGATTCCAGCGTATCAGCAATAGCACGATATTTCTTCCAGCCATCTGCAACCACCAACAGGGTTAGAGGAAAACAACTCATCCAATAGTGTTTTCATACTATTGATTGACAGGGACTAACAACATAAAACTTGGCTGGACGGACCGACCTGCTCTGATACCACTAATGTAACACCATTTTCTACCCCACAAAATAAAAGGCAAAATATTCACATTTATCAGAGTAAAATATTAAATTCAATAAAAATCACCTCAAAGGGCGTACATTTCCCAATAAATCAAATATAAGTCAAAGCTCCGTAAACAACGAGTTTTCTCAAAAGATATCAAAAATTGTAGCGGAACTCAAAAGGCATAATCCAAAGTTTTCCTTATACGGGAACATAATCAAAATAACCAAATCAAATAAAATAAGGTTTGACTCAAAGACCCCAACCCGATGTTACACTATCAGAGCATGACCCTCTAAGTCAACCACCATGGCCAACGACCCAAAAACTTCAAAAAACCCTCGACGGCATCCACGGTTAAACCTGATCATCTACACGTTACCTACGTGGAGGCAACATTCAAACAGGCAGGGTGAGTAAAACGATTCATGATAATCAATGTAAGAAATCAACATATAAAGTGGCGTCATTTTCATATTCAACATCATCATATTCATCAAGGAACATCAAAGGCCACAACATCATAATTTACTCAAGATCATCTCATAAATGCAAATGCAACAAGACTTAAGGCATGTGGTACCAATCATCACAGCTCGATGGACACTGGGCCATCAACCCTCTATAGATCCCTATCAATAGGATCGATTCTACTCGAGAACCGGAGCACATCAAAATACCTCACATACGCACAATGGGATTGAAGCCAAAGAAATCAAGGTCCTGAACCGAAGTCCAGATGCACATGAATGCATGATGCATACGTCAATATCCTCATAATAACATCATAGGTGCATCATCATTCATCATAATCATCATCATCAAAATCATGCCATCAGAGAATCATCAAAACTCATGAAAATATCATCATAGTTCATCAATCATTACATCATAGGAATCATCATATAATCATGTAAAAATCACATAGAATTCACAGTCATACTCATATTCATTCGTCAAAGAAATCACAACATCAAAACACCAAGGCGTCACTGCACAAAATCAGAATTCGCGAAACTCTACTACATTCTCTAGCAAGTTCGATGTGCGAGTCTAGGGCAAGTTTCTTTGCTGTGCGAAGGATTCTTCGCAGTGCGAGTCTGGGACGAGCTTCGTTCGCTGTGCGAACACGCGATGACAACAACACACTGTTACGCACCAGAACCTAAAATCAACCCAAAAGTCCCACGATTCACTTCCCCAATAACCCTAAAACATCCCTAAATCATCCCTAAGGTCTTACGGTGATAAAGGCACAAAATCTACGACTTATTAGGCCAATCTCGTATCATACTCATGCTCTAAATCCCATAAATCCTTACAACTGCACCACCATCATTAGAGTTCCTCATTATCTAATTTCCCTACAGGGTTAGACAAATGTCAAATCAGAGCTTTGGCTATGAAGGCCTAATTTCCTTTAACTCAAATAAATCCCTACGGTTAAAATCTCAATAATAGATTTAGGCCACGAAGGCCAAATTCCCTTTATCCCATAATCAGCCTCAAACCCTTTAAACCCTTAAATCGACCTTAGATACATTGAAATTACACATTGAAAACAATGAAGGCAATACTCCCCATACCTTAATTGCCGACTCTTAGCCTTTTCAAATCTTTCAGAAAACCTTTCGAAGCTTTTGTCTCAAACCTCCTCCTCAGAGCTCTGGCCTCAATTCTTTTCACGGTCTAACAAAATGAATCCTAATCCCATCATAATTCCTTTTTTTTAAACTTAACCTTGGGCATATAATTTGGGCTTTCCAATATTACCCTCACTAACTCCTCCTCAACTGTCCAATTTGCCCTAAGTTAACTTATATTTATTTAAATTAATGATAATACCAATATATTCATATTATATACTATTATTTAAATAAATAACTTAAAATCCATAATTCTTAATATTTCACAATAACCACCGAAAATTACCATATTCTTATTTAAATAAATTAAATAAATATTCCAATAAATTTGGGGTGTTATAAATGACAACTTAAAGTTACAACTGGGTAAAACTGGAGCTTCTTTTCAAAAGAGCTTTTATGAAGTTGAGCACGCCCACGTAAGTCCATTTTATAATAATTAGCGTGGTTCAATGTCTCGAGCTGCATTGAGACACATTGTTAAAGAGTTAACACGAGTTAATTATGTTGGAACTAACAAGGAATTATTTCGTTGTACTCTATTACCTTGTGCTTGTGAGTTGACAGGATATAGAATTGGTGGTATACCGATACCAATAGATGTTGTACATGTTCATTGGAGGAAACTAAGTATGAAAGTTAAGTTGGAGGAAGACGTAGATGATGGATCAGAGGTGGATATTTGTAGTGCAATAGATGAGTTATGGAAAAGGTGTAGGTCTCTAGATGTTGTTAGGAAAATGGCATTAAAAAGTAGGGTTTTGAACTTGCCTTCCGCACAATGACCTCTTTGTTTCCACCACCTGAGAAAATAAAAACCAAAGGGGGAGTCAAGAAGAAAGGCAAAAAAAACCAGTAGGGTATGATGTTTATAGGGACCCTTCGTATCATAAGTATGTTGATCAAGCATCTCAATCTTCATAGAGGCAATCTCAACCATCACATACTTCGAAGATGTTGAAATTATCACATTCTTCACAGAAGAAATCTCAACCATCACAGGCTTCGAAGAAGTTGAAACTATCACAATCTTCACAGTCATCTAAGCAGATAATCCTTCAGTTTCCTAATCACATCAGGTCGTATATTGATGGTGTAGTTAACGTTGTATCATATGGTAATTATGGATTTAGAGTCATTGCTTCATTCCATAGATATGATGAAGATGGTTGGCCAATGGTTCGTCGAGACTCGGGGTTGGAAATAATACATAATGAAAGATCAAGTTTGTATACCAATTTATTTGCTGATCGGTTAACAAAAGTGAGAGAATCTTTGATGATAGAGGCATTTGGTCCTCAACCACCACATAAATGGTTGACTATACCATATATGAGTTACTTGATAGTGAATCGTTATAATGTTGTACTTGTCTGTTTAGGTTTTGAATGTTGGACTTTCTTCCCTATGACAACTTCATTTTCACCAAATGTATCCTTTTACTGCATTGGTTTTGTAAACACAAGTCATTGGGTTCAGATACTTAGTTATTTTTACTAAGTTATATTTAGTTAATGTGACTAACCTAATTTCTTAACATTTTGATTTTTTTTATTCGGGTAAACATGAAAGAAGGGTTTCCATTGCCACCAGTGACAGTAGATTGGAAGAAGTTTCGTTCTCCAGCAGCAACATCTTGGATGCTAGGATTTGCAGATAGTCTACAACATTGGCAACAACTTACACCTATATTACCAACACATTATGAATTATAAATTATGTTATTCATTTTAAATTTCAAAACACGAATCATGAATTATGTTATTCATTTTTAATTTTAAAACATAAATTATGAATTATGTTATTCATTTTTAATTTCAAAACATAAATCATGAATTATGTTATTCACTTTTAATTTCAATAACACATAACTGGATTCAAAACTAAACATCAGTTTATAAGTTAACACATAAACATAACCCAACTAGGTGAAGTGAGTCTAAAAGTTAATACATAAACATAAACATAAGTCAATAAGTCTAAAATTTAACACATAAAAATAAACATAAATATAAGTCAATGTGAACGAGCAATACGTAAAACTTCGAACAACTCAGCAAACTGTGGATCATCCTCTTTAGCACTAGTTGTTGATAACAATGAATCAATGCAGAAACACGAGCCCAGTTAGGATCAGACGGTCCTACAATGTAAACATGAACTTGCACCTCTATTGGCGCATCACGATGGGGCGGTATCAGACGAGGATGCAAAACACGATAATACCACTGAAGATATCCATCATCTGTCTCAGATGGGGTGGTGGCCAGTGTTGTGTGACGAATCACATCCCTAATGCTCTGATGGTAACTAATCCACTTAACATCAATATCACCAGCCATCGTATAATCAAGAGGTGGAGGTGGAACATACTGCCTGTATCCAAACTGACACATACATCTGTCAGGAAAGTATGGAACAATAATGTCACCCCATCTCAGACACCCCATGTATAAACATAACTCATCAAACTGACGCCATATTCTATGATTCTCGAATAGGCGCCATTTGACATCGATAGGTGTCAGCTCGTCCAGAATAAGTCACAAGTCATCCACCTTCAGGACACCTTGCCTATAGGACCATCTCATCGCTCGAGGGAGACTAACATTATTAGCTGGTATCCAATTCTCTCCTTTTTTCCAAGTGTTAGAAAATACTCATGAATCCAGCACTGTTACAAAATTAATACTATTAGTTAATTGAAAATAATTAATTATAACATAATAAACTAGATAAATAAAATTAATATACTAAATAAAATTAATTTAAAAAAAACTAAATTAAAATAAATACATGTAGGAGAGTCGAATAACCACCGAGCTGCTTACAACTGAACATGAAAGTATCTCCGAGATATCTAGCAATATGATGTTAGTACTTAACCAAAAGAGAGGTATCATACGGTCCTCCTATATATCCAACAGGCTGTGTTTCTGATGCAGATGCACTAGTATACTCTTCCTCAGTCATTCTCAATGATTCGCCCCGTCCTAGACCGTTATTAGGGATCCTACCGTCCTTGCCTCGTGTGCGCACCACTGCCATAATAAAAACAAAACAAAAAATTAAAAACATAAAAAAAAATATAAAAAAACATAAAAAAAATATAAATTAAAAAAAAACCAAACTGTAACACTTCAACAATGAGTTCTGGTATGAATCTTAATGAAAAAGAACCAGAAGACTTGCATTAACACTTTTGGTAAATAAACGAAAAAAACCATCATATCGAAAGACTTGCATTAACACTTCCGGTATGTAAACTCAAAATACCAGAATACCGGAAGACTTCTTCAATGTCTTCCGGTACGAAAACAAAACTGGAAGACTTACTCTAATACCTTTGGTATACATTTTATGAACCAGAAGACTTGTGATATGAGTTCTGGTATACAACAGCAAAATTTATTCCTCAGAAGACTTCAGGCAGAAATGAAAATGGAAAACATAATTTCTAAAATTATAACTATTTATATGAGGGTATTTTGGTCCAAATTTTGTGTGTGTATGGGTATAGGTATAATTGTAGGGGTATGGAGTAAAATTTTTTCACCAGTCATGTGTATGGACTTAAGTGATATAGACGAGATTTAAGGCCCTTTTGTTTTAGCTTTTAAACAAATATATTTTTTTTGTATTTTCACAAATGACTTTTATAAAAAAAAAATTGATATTAAAATTTTTAAATTTTTTTTTTATAAATTGAAAGATTAATTTTGACGTCTTATATCGTAATATATATTATTGAATGATAAAACATATTATCTCTATCCCATAATGAGTGACTGAGTTGACAATTTTACATAGATTAAGAAAAAATGATAAATGAAAGAGAGAATGACATTTTTATTAAAGTACATTTAGCATGTATTGAAAATGATGAAAATAATACTAATTAGAGGGTAAAATTGAAAAAGATACATTGAAAATTAAAATGAGTCATTCATTTTAGAACACTCTTTTATTTCAAATAGATCACTCATTGTGAGACGGAGGGAGTAGTTGAAATCATAATTTAAAAAAAAAAGTATCTTAAAAATAATTTTTATGAAAATTTATTTAAAATAATTTCAAATTTATTTTATTTTTGAAATTTTAATATGGATAAAAAATTACAGCAAAAGACTGAAATACTTTAAATAGCATTTTAATAATTTAAATCAACTTTTTCATTTGAAATGTTTTTAAATTATTTGTAAAAAAATTTAAAACAAAAATATGTAATATTAAGAAAAATATTTTAAAAAGTGAAATAAATATATTCTTATTCATTTTACTTATGTTGGAGTAATAGTTGTGGCTTCTTCTATAATACATGAATATATTCAAATAAGTCAATATAAATTATTTAATAAGAATGTCGGGTGTTTACACAACTATAAATTAAGTGACATAATTCTATTTTTTTTTATTTTTAAATTTGAATATAAAAATCATATTTATGAGTTAAATCTTGACTCCAAATTCATATTAATTTCCTTTATAAATAATATTTAAATTTTTTTATTGGGTTGACTCTTCTTTAATTATCTTTTCTTGAAAAATTAATCAAATTTACAAAAGGTTAATGTCACTTTTAGTTTTTTTTTAATAAATTATTTTAAGTTATTATATATATATATATATATATATATATATATATATATAATCAAATTTACAAAAGGTTATTATATATATATATATATATATATATATATATATATATATATATATATATATATATATATATATATATATATATATATATATATATATATATATATATATATATATATATATATATATATATATATATATATATATATATATATATATATATATATATATATATATATATATATATATATATATATATATATATATATATATATATATATATATATATATATATATATATATATATATATATATATATATATATATATATATATATATATATATATATATATATATATATATATATATATATATATATATATATATATATATATATATATATATATATATATATATATATAATTATAGAGATTTTTTTTCAAAGAAAACTTTTAAATAAAAAATTTGTTTAAATAAAATTTTTAAATATTTTTTAGATATCTCATCTTTTAATTATAATATTAAATTTTTAACAATTTGTTCGTCATGAAAATTGGTGAACAACCGCTGGTCTTACAAATCGGAAAAAGATATGTTTTACTTGCAGGATCGACACACAAATCTTAGGACATGTGCTAATTGATCTTAAATATAATTTATAAAAATTATGAATACTTCGACAGAGTCTATGATAAAGCAACTTATTTCAAATGTAAATGAATTTATGTGACAATAAGTAAAATCGAAGTACTTGTAAATGACGAAGATAAGAACTTGCATAAAGAAATAATAAATTCTTAAAGAAAGAGATTTATCAAATTGCATTGAAATGAAAAACAGGTGTTAAGTCAACGTACATTCTTACAAACTCGTTTCTCTCAACACACGAATACTTGGAGTATACTGAAGAATTTGTACAGAATTGAACACATACACATCCTAACACTAAGACCTGCTATTTATAATAATCAGATATAACTGTCATTAACGGCTGACAAACAAAATCAAGACAAGTGTCGCTATGCATGCCTTCAAATTATAGAGGCGCTCCACGTGTCTCCCTCGAAAATGGACTTTCCCTCTTTTATTTGAATTCAAATGAACTCGTCGAAATACCCTTAGCGACACCTTTATCGAATCGAATCTTTCAATTGTTGAGGAATATCCATAAGTCCATAACATAGAC